TATACTTTATTTCCATTTTTGGGAGGACTAAATTGTTGCTCATGCATTGTTTTACCTTCTTCCTTCCTTTTTTTTTTTTAAAAAAAATTTTTTTTATAACATTGCAAAAACTGAATTTGCTGCATGATAATAGGGACTAGGATTTCGACAAGAACTTGCTTCTGATGGTGGAGAACGAATTGTTGTTGCTCAGCCAGTTCTGGAAGGTTTAGAAGATGTGGAGGAGGAGGAAGATGGCTTGGCCTGTATGGTCTGTCGAGAGGGCTACAGTTTGAGGCCTGGTGACTTGCTCGGTGTTTACTCTTTTAGCAAGAGGGTGAACCTCGGTGTTGGTACTTCAGGAAGTACACGGGGAGAGTGTGTTTATACCACTGTTAGTTATTTTAATATCATTCATTTCCAGTGCCATCAGGAGGCAAAAAGAGCAGATGCCGCTTTGAAGAATCCAAAGAAAGAATGGGAGGGTGCTACTCTCAGGAACAATGAATCTCTTTGCAATTCCTTATTCCCTGTGAGAGGACCTTCAGTCCCACTAGTGCAATATGTGCGCTATGTTGACCAATACTGGGATAACCTCAATGCTCTTGGACGTGCTGATGGGAGCCGTCTCCGACTGCTGACTCATGACATTGTTCTGGTAATGATATTCCCTCAATGATTGTGCTTTTCTTGTTAGTCATTTTGGTGATTAAGCTGTACATATCTAATGCCAGTGCATGTGTTTTTGTGTAGATGCTAGCTCGTTTTGCGACAGGGGCATCATTTAGTGCAGAAAGTAGGGGTGGTGGCCGGGAAAGCAACTCTAGATTTTTGCCTTTTATGATCCAGATGGCTCATCACCTTCTCGAACAGGGAGGCTCCTCACAGCGCCGTAGCATGGCCAAGGCTGTGGCAGCATACGTTACCTCCTCCCCTGCGGATTCCAAGTCATCAAGTCCTGGAAGCCAACCTTCCATGGGAACCGAAGAATCTGTTCAATTCATGATGGTGAACTCACTCCTTTCAGAGTCTTATGAGTCATGGTTGCAACATCGACGTGGTTTCTTGCAGCGTGGAATATACATTGCATACCGGTCGACATCCAAGATGGAATCAGCAAGTAGCAGCAGAAGCTCAACCTCAGAGTCAAATAGTGCTGATGAGCTATTGCCTGTTGTTCGACAAATGCTTGTGTACACTGGTTTGATCGAGCAGTTGCAACAATTTTTCAAGGCCAAGAAACCTGGAAACGCAGAATCTGTCAAAACTGAAGGAACATCTACAGGTTCAGAAGGGGAAGATGGGAGTGGAAACCTGGAAGCTTGGGAGGTTTTTATGAAAGACAGGCTCCTAAATGTGAAGGAAATGCTAGGGTTCTCCAAGGACTTGCTCTCATGGCTCGACGAGATGAACTCTGCATGTGATTTGCAGGAGGCCTTCGACATAATCGGTGCTCTAGGTGATGTGCTATCTGAGGGGTTTTCACGATGTGAGGACTTTGTGCAAGCCGCAATCGATGCTGCGAAGATGTGAGCATTAGATCAAATCAGGGCTAATTTGTTAATTTCCCTTTGTGTGAAGTAGCTTAATTCTGCTTTAATAATTAGCAATGAGCTCAAGACAGTTTGTACGTACAATATATATTTGCTCCTTGGTAATGAGAAATATCATTTTTTCCTGCACATTAGTTCAGCTTAATTCAATTCAATGACCTGAATTTAATAAAAGTGCATTTTCAGGAACTTTGCAATTTCTGCGTCATCTCACATCATCAAAGACAACTCAATTATTTATCAATAAAAGGGATAAAATAAGCTGTTTAAGCATCTAAATTATCAGTGTAGTACAACTACATAAAATCAACTGAAGCATATGAACTGATGAAAGTACAAAGAATTAAGAGGCAGAAATCTCAACTATATCTTTCAGTTCATTGCATCGTAGTCATCCAACCTGTCATTGTATTCCAGCACCTTCCTCCTTATCTTAGAAGTGTCAACCCAGGTAATGAAGTCCTCCATATTCCTTGTTACAAGGAATGCTGGATCCGTTATTGTCTCTGGTCCAACTCGAATGTGTCCCTGCTCAATGTATGTTATTGCTTCTTTTAAGTGTTCTGCAAACTTCAAGCGCACCAAGACGGTTGAGAGCCTGCGCCTGCAACCAAAGAAATGGCGCAACACAAGCAACTTAAAAATTCTGGTTGTGTTAGCATTTCTCACAGTTGCCATTAGATAGGAAGTCATTTTATTTTTAACCATTTTATGCTTTTGTTGCAAAAGATAATTCCTTTTGAAATAGAAATAAATTTATCTAATTGTTGAAGAATTGAGTACCTCATAAAGGAAGATACAGATAAATGATCACAGAGAGCCAAGCTTTTCCTGGTTGGAATTACGCCCATGTTATATCTGTTATTCAGAAAGAATTCATGAGCATCATCACCCTTAGAAGATAAGCTGAATATAATTTTTTAAGAGAAAGGCATAAAAAGACAAAAGTAGAGAAACATTGTTAGCTAATAACGACAATAGTAAAGCTAAGTAAATAATGCGCATATAAGATGGAAAATCCATGTTGAAGCTTTGATGGTCAGGTAAACCAAACCAAAGATTCAATAGCAGATTTTCCAAATAACCCCACTGATCATTTGAACCAGAACTTTAAAAAAAAAAAAAATGTATAATATATGTATGTGTGTGTGTGTGTGTATATAAAAGAGCTCTCCCTTCACCCCCACTCTCTTATTACTCTCAAGAAGGCATCTGACTTAGGTACATATCCTCCATGGATACTTCAAATCCTTTGGAAAATTGTCATTAAGTCCAAGCATACAAGAGTCATTTCAATACAAATTCAAAGGTTTTTAACCACTCACAAACATGGCTAGGGGTTCATTTTCGAACAAAATGAAGGGTGCCTGTTATAAGGTGTATCTATTGGAAAAGCTCAAATAAATCATAAATCAACAACTAAGAAAATACTTGAGGAACACAGCAGAACATTCAGATTGAACTTACAGCTTCTCTAAAAGCATATCAGTCATCTCAATTCGGAAAGGGTCTCTGGGATCCATCTGCTTCAATATATTTACCAGCTTATGCACCATTCGGCACAAACCCGAATACCTATTTTCAATTTTTAACCCAAAAGAGGAATCAATAAAAGCTAAAAATCAATCTTGCTCATGAACATGAACCAATCAAGAAAATAATCTGAAGGCAAAATAAACAAAGCAGAAGGTTACACCAAATAAGCAACTCAAAATTCACGAAATCAACATGGTAAGTTTGAGAAGAAATCCGGAATTACTTCTTGTAATCGTCTCGACCGACGATATGGTATCGGTGCATAATCATATTCTCCCGGTGGCCACCTTCTCTTTTCCATTCTAATAAATTTGTTCTCTTCAGCAGCTTCTTCTCATGAAACTTAAGCTTCCTCATTCTTCTTCACCTGGATATAGTTTCTTCACTAAGCGAAGTTACAGAGGGAGAAGATAGACTAAAACAAAACCCTAGAATCTGCAGGAGGAAGAAACTGAAATAAAACAGAGAAATTGGATGCTCTCGTTGAAGCAACAAAGCCCATTTTCTTCCGTGAGATATTATTGTTATGTCAGCCCAATATGCTTATTTAAGTACTGAAAAATCTGGCCCAGTTTTCTGTCTTCAAGCCATGAAGCCCATTTTCTTTTTTCATTTTTTTTGGGACATTGTCGGTTTGTAACTATTCTGTCTTTTTTTCTGCAGTCTTATGGGCACACATGACCCAATTATTATGGTCAATAAAGATTTCTGATGATTGTAGGGTAAAACTCTGCATCTTCAGCTGGATTTGTACTCCTATAGTAATGAAATTCAACTACATCGTGCCAATTAGTTGAGATGTTTGGAAATTTTTTTTAGGGACCATCATTAAAATTTACCCCTCAAATTTTATGGATTCTATAGTACAACAATTGGCAATCTAAGAAAATTATCCAAATTTTATCTTTATATGTAATTTTAGTCGAATTTTTTAAGAGTTTTGATATAGCTCAATAAGATAATAATTTTATTTAAGTAATTCTGTTTTATTTTTAATTGATTGTTTTTAATTTTTAATTACAAATAATTTTTTATATTTAATTGTCTAAATTTATAATAAGATAGTTTAAATTTATAATTAATGTTGTAAATTATACTTCAATTTTAAGTTATAATTTCATAATATTTAAAAATTATGATATAATTTCTTTTTTATTTTTTAATGAAAATCTCTATTTTTCATTCAAAAATTTTGACAATCTAAGAAATTTACCCAAATTTTGTCTTTACATGTAATTGGCATCTCATCATGTCAAAAGAATACGAGTTAGGTAAATAAAATGTATGGAGGTGATGTTCAACACTAATGTATTGAGTATTACATTACGCCTAAATATGGATTAAGGGGTGATGATTAGTTGATGATTCTCATAGAAATATGAAGAATTTTGATTTCATTTTCTTTCATCTTTTGGGACCATGATCAAACTCACCTTGATAAGAGTAGATGTGTATGCCACGTTGAACATTAATGATGCAAAGCTGAAAGCTGAGTAAAACCTAGCTTCCTCATCTAGAGAGACTTTAAATGCTCCATTGGAACAAAATCCCCACCTCACTTTTTGTTATATATTAATATACTCACTCTATTGGAATTTCACCAAATGAGCCACTCAAAGCCACATTACATATGGTTTTCTTGCTTTATACTTTATAGTGCAGTGAAGGCAACTACAACTGTCCATGACTAGATATCATTTTTATGTGTTTTTAATTGACTCTTGCTCATTATTTTGCTTCCTCAGCTTTTTTTAATCTTGAATTGCTTAAAGGGTCATTCCACATGTATAATTTATACATTGGTCAATTAAACATTGTTATAGTGATAAGACTGAAAGTCATCTATATCATAACAAAAAAAATTCATGAAGAATGGGGTCTAAATGGAAATGGCCCTTCCAAAATGTCTGATTGATCCTGGGACCTATGATTTGGACATAAAGGGGTAAGGATAATTATTTTAAAGGCTGGAGGAGTGCCCCTTACACTTGGTAGATTTGATGTAGATGCCATACATTCACGGGCAATTATCAGTTGTCACTGTTATAAATGGCCAAGCATTTGTCTTAAATTTTCCTTCATGCTTGATCTAACTAGTTTTACCACTTACCCAATTTTACTGCATAACAAAAACACAAAACAAACATATACTTCCAATTGACAGCAAAATGTTGTCCTTTCTATCTAGACCCACTTTCCTCTTTTTTTGCTCTGTGGCTTTTTTTTTTTTTTTTTTTCTTAGTACGTACTTATAAGAATTGAACTTTAAATTTATAATTAAAACTATTGGTAACTCTATTGCTAAATTATATGACTAATATATATATATTTTATAGTGATAATAAATAGATCTACATTTCAATTCAAGACAAAAGAAAGACGTGAGCATTCACCTTTACCATTAGATCAGAAGCTCCAAGTGGTTCTATAGTATCTAATAAATGGATGGAATGGTGAACAATGCTTAAAGTAAACAAGAATGATAAAAAATTTTGGTACAGGAAAAGGAAGTTACCCAAACTTAACTTGGGGAAATTCAGTTGCCAGTACTTTACTTTTGGGTCTGTTTTCGAATTGGAGGATGATTTTATTGGCTTGACAAAAAAAGATGTTAATTAATATTTTCTTTCATTTTCTTCCAAATTGTATAGTGGGACAAGATGATAGTTGCAAGACTTGATAATTTATAACACAAATTTTATAGTAAATTGGTTTTTAGCTCCTGCATATTGATGACAAGGTTTATACAACAGTTTTAGTACAGTGTAATATTACCTTTTTTTATTATTATTTTTGAATTACAAAATAAGAAATAATCTTATTTCATATATTAACCTATTTCATTAACATGTTATATAATTTAAATTCGAAATTTCTTTTTTTAGAAGGAAGAGATTAACACTACCCACTTAAGTGAATGACATGTTGTAGCATTAACTTTTTTGCCATCAAACAAGATTTCAAGTTTAAGTTTTATGAATGGAGAAATAAGTACAAACAGAATTTTTCTTTATGTAGAATCAATATGGTTTGATTCTAAATTAATTTGAATTCAATATGATTTTCAAATACTAAAAAGTTAGTAGAAAAAAAAAACCTTTTAACTGTTTTTTAAACCACTTTTTACTGGTTACTGTTACCATTTAATTTAAGTTTATGGGACTCAACTTTATATGATAAAATAAAAAAAAAATAAGAAAGAAGTTTATGGGACTTAGCCGTGACAAAGTTAAAAAGATGGGGCCGCTGATTCATCACGGTTTCTTAAGGAGACCTCCCAAAGTAAAAGCACACTTCTTGCGCCTTCATTACAGGCTTTTCTCACTTCTTACACTTGTTCCCCCTGCTTTATAAAACGCGGCGCAAATTCTCTCTTCCCCCTCATATTGTATTCGCCGGCGACCTCGCCGGGATCTGGTCGGAGACTCTCTCTCCTGTAAAGCTCACCCTTTTCCACTCTCTTTCGACTTAACAAAACCACATTTTTCTTTACACAAAACTGAGTGTTTTTTTTTTTTTTGGGGTGAAGAAGGACTGAGATTCAGTTAAACCTGCATCATATCATTTCTGGGTTTTTCTTACATTGCTAATGTGTGTCAAAGGTTTGGGAGAATCAAGCCAAAAGTGAGGTTCTTTTTAATCTGGGTTCGTTTGGGTTTTGGTATGTTGGCTGCGCTGTGGTAGAGCTGTTGCTAGAGGTGATAAAGGTTAGGTATTTTCTGATTAAGATATAAAACTGTGAAGCTGGGGTCTTAATTATTTTAATGCAAAGTTTTTGGTAATCGAGGAAGGTTAGAGTTTCAAGACTCGAGGGATAATTAAGTTTTGTGAAATCACATTCTCTTCTGTGGAGATAATTTATAATCTTTTCCCTTCTTTCTGTTATTAGAATATTGCAAGTTTCAGAATTTTTATCTGAGGCTTGGACTTTGCATTTAAAGATGAAGTAGACATTTTGTCAATGCTGAATTCAAGGTTATTAGCATTGGCCATTGGAGATATAAGTTGGTTTTGGGAGTGAGTTGGGTTGCACTGTGTGGAGTCTGGTGAAAAGTGGATGTAGAGAGAAGAATGAAGATGAAGATTTTTAGTGAAAGGAAGGTTGAGAAGTTGAGAAATTCAATGATTTTGAGGTCCCAGACGAAGCTATGGATGATCCGAGCAATAACAATGATATTGCTTTGGACTTGTTTTTCTCAGTTGATGGCTCTGGGAGAGATGTGGGGTACAAGATTGTTGAAGGGTTGGCCTTCTTGTTTCAGCCATTCTAATTTGCCTCTGATTGTTGAATCCTCGTCTTTTCCGGAGAAAGTCATTCTTCCTCCAAAGAGTAAGAACATGACTTCTCTAAAATATGCCTTATCAAGATTTCCTTCTGATCATCTTTTCCCTATTTCCTATGTTAATTTTGTTGTGTTTCTTTTGTTTGGCTCGGCATTTCAGGCATTTTGCCTTTTCCATGGTGGGGTTTTCTTTTGGTGAAAAGCAAAGAATCCTAAATTAAGCTGTCTATTCTGATTTTGTAACTTTGTCTTTTCAGGGATATATAGGAATAATGGTTATCTCATGGTTTCCTGCAATGGAGGACTAAACCAAATGCGAGCAGCAGTGAGTAGATTACTGGCTTTAGAAGAATCTGCATCAGTATTGAATTGATCTGCATCAATATTGAATTGACTTTCCTTTTGATACTTTTTTGCTCCTCTACCCTCCATCTGTTTTGCAGATATGTGACATGGTCACCATAGCCAGATATTTAAATGTCACTCTAATTGTCCCAGAGCTGGATAAAACCTCATTTTGGAATGATCCGAGGTACAGAAAAATTGAATGCCTTTTTCTCAAGCTTTCTTAAAATTCAGGGTTTTCCCACGTCTTGCCCCAGGCATTTAGAATTTGTCAAGAAGGTCTCTAATTTGATTCTATGAACAGTGAGTTTCAAGACATATTTGATGTTGATCACTTCATTACTTCTTTGAGAGATGAGGTTCGTATATTGAAGGAGCTACCACCCCGGGTTAAGAAAAGAGTTGACTTGGGAATGCTCTACTCTCTGCAACCAATTAGTTGGTCTGACATTTCTTATTACCTTCATCAGGTATAATTCACTCTGGATAATAAACTCAGAACAAGCCTTTTCATTTCTCTGTTTCATCTACCTGCTGTAAAGCTACTGATTCCCAGAGTACTTGTGGACAGATTCTGCCTCTTGTTCAGAAGTACAAAGTTGTGCAGTTGAATAAAACTGATGCTCGGCTTGCTAATAACGGATTGCCTATTGAGATTCAGAAGTTGCGCTGTCGTGTTAATTTTAACGCTCTGAGATTTACCTCCCAGATAGAGGAATTGGGTAGAAGGGTTGTCAGAATTTTAAGGGAAAAAGGTCCTTTCCTAGTTCTTCATCTCAGGTATGAAATGGACATGTTGGCATTCTCCGGCTGCACTCATGGTTGCAACAGTGAGGAGGAAGAAGAACTAACAAGAATGAGGTAACTATATTTTTGTTCTTGGTAGTTATGTATTTAGAGAAACAACTTCATAATTCTGTTATTGATTGTTGTCAAATTGAACCTCATCAGATATGCTTACCCTTGGTGGAAGGAAAAAGTTATCAATTCTGAAACAAGAAGGAAAGAAGGTCTCTGCCCTTTAACACCAGAGGAAACTGCTCTGGTGTTAACAGCACTGGGAATTGACCGAAATGTTCAAATCTACATTGCTGCTGGAGAAATTTATGGTGGTCAAAGAAGGATGGCATCTTTAGCATCAGCATTTCCTAATTTGGTCTGTAGAAAAAAACACAAGTGCACAAGCCAACATTCAGCTTTCATGTATACATACCCTAACATTTTGCTTTGCTATTATTGAAACAGGTCAGGAAAGAGACTCTGCTGGAGCCATCAGATTTGAAATTCTTCGAAAATCACTCATCGCAAATGGCAGCATTGGATTATCTTGTCTCCTTAGAGAGTGATATATTTATTCCTACTTTTGATGGAAACATGGCTAAAGTTGTTGAAGGCCATCGAAGGTAACATATCGAATGCTTACCATCCTCTTCTTGTTCAACATAGTCTTAACCTTTCTGGGTAGATTGAGTTGATTGAAAACAAGAGTTCAAATACAAAATTACTCTCTTACTAATTTTTCTGTACTGATAAATTATTTAGCAACTTGCCTGTTCTATTCTACGCAAGATTCTTCATCTTTACTCCTTATATTTGTTATTTTCAATTGACAGAGTTAACTCTTCCTTTTAGAATAAGAGAGCTACACATTAATCTGATCTTATTTTAATCCATGCCAGATTCTTAGGATTCAAGAAGACCATTTCATTGGACAAAAAGCTTCTCGTTAGTTTAATAGATCATCACAATAATGGTTCATTAAACTGGGATGAATTCTCCACAACTGTGAAGGAAACTCATGCTGACAGAATGGGGAGCCCTAAGAAACGAAATGCCATTCCAGATAGACCCAAGGAAGAAGATTACTTCTATGCCAATCCACATGAATGTTTGCAGTTGTTAGATGAACCATTAAGTACATGATCCGAGTCATGCCGGTCAGATGAATAAAACTTCATTCATACGGATACTCCACATGTTTACATGTTTGGTCACAGCAGTCCAGTTTGTGTCACATAATCACGCTTGGGGGTAGTCAGGCCCTGAGACCAGATGCTTGTCATCAGCTCCCAGCACTACTTATCTTTCAATATTGTTCAATAATCAGATTAATGTATAGAATTTATAATAATAATAATAAAAAGAAAAAAAAAAAAGGGAGGAAAGGTGCCGACTGAGGGCTTAATTTAAGATAAGTTGCTCTGTAAAAACTCCTTAATTATGGCAATTCTTTTTAGAATCAATCCTGCGATGCAGTGCAAGTGAGGGATGGACAAAACAATCATTTCCCGACAAAATGCAGCTTGTCCGCCACCATCAATGTTATTAATGTCACTAAAATTTGGATTTTTTTAAACGGTATTTAAAAATATTACTTTTTTTTTAATTTATAAATATTAATTATTTTATTAATTATTAATTATATATATTAATTATTTTTATTAATTAAATTAAATTAAATTAATATTTTAAAATAATATTTTATAATTATAATAATTATAACATTATTATTAATCATCATGAGATTATCTAGATAATAAACTTAAAATACAAAATTATTCACAGAAAAATAATTTTGAAATAATTTTTTTATCTTTTTTTTTTTTACACATAACGTGTTATTTACATGATTAATTTTGTTTATTCATATAAATTCATGATATTAAATATATTTATTTATTTAGTGACATATAAAAATTATATCAAAAAATAATATAAAAAAATTATCCTTATATAATCGTTATTCACATGCTCAATTTGTTTCGTCGTTATATAAAAAGATAGGTATATAGCAAGAACCAGACATAATCACAAATTCACAATGCATCTGCTCAATAATTAAATCAAAGTTTCGCCTTTTCGACTCGCCTTTGGTTCTCTTACAAGGAGGAGCATGAGTTTCAGCGAAAGAATTGCATAAGCAAAGACCTTATCAAGTTTCAGCTGGTGGGTCTCCTGGAATGAATAATTCCAGTCAAGTACTGTCATTTCAAAGTTGTTGGGAATCAAAATCATGTCTTCCCTTGATTATTTTAGAAGAAGTATCTTTACGCATACATCTACCTAGTACTAACTCCAATCCTAGTTTCCATGATCTTAATTAGTAAAAAATTGAAGAAAGAGAATGTAGTACCCCAAATAATTCCAAAATGAATCCAACGTGCACTCGTTCACCAAGGAAAACTTTCCTCTTTCTAATTTCTATTCAACCAATCTTTCAAATTCCCAAGAAGACTGAAGACTTTCTCTTAGAATTCATCTTAAGTTGTGATGTTGGGTGATCCAAGAAGTCAGCTTCCACAGTTCCACCGTGGACATAGCATAAGGTCTAATGATGATGCGATAAACCAGGCACCGAAAGTGGCTTTTGCATCACATAACCACCAACAAATGCCAAGAAGTTGAGTGTTGTAAAAAAATTTTCAGAAGGCTTCATGAATGCCCAACAACCCTGAAGAAAAGCTTGTTTGAAATTCGTATCTGTTTAAGATTTTAATAGCAAAAAATTGTTTCGTAATTCATATTATACCAAACTATAAATCAATGACTTTTAGATTGGAGAAAGCTTCCTGATATTGAACCCTCATCCTCAATCCAAGGACTATGATTTTATAATCTGATACAGTTTAGACTGCAAAATAAAAAACTCAAACTTTTAACAGAATCTCAATAATCTTGGTTATTTTCCAGGCTTAAATGATGAAGCAAAGACAAGGTAATGGTGATAGAAGAAAGGATTATGCTCCCATCATTATCTTCAAACTGCAAAATCATCATCGATTGATTCAATTAATTACAAAAGGGAAAATATATTACACGTCGTGCTGGAAATCCTGAAGAGGCAATTGGTGATAAGAGATTAATATCCCTCAAAAGCTGCAAAAGTGACCACCATAACTTGGGGCAGAAAGATTCATGTCGAAAATTGACACAGCTGAAATATTAATATCAATAATAAAGTACCAATATATTTCGAGAAAGGGGAATAAAGGGGAGCAGCTTCTCATTATATGCATGGAAGCATCTATCTGAAGAATATTAAATATATAACTTCTAGAAGAATCAATGCATCCTGGCAAACCAAGGCGCATAAAAAAATGTACAACCTGTCTAGACCTAATAATTATGTGGACCATGGCGTTGCAAAAATGAGCACCACAACCATTAAAAAGGGACAGAACAAGGAGATTCGATATATGCAAAAGTAATTGACTAGAATACTAGCTTGTTCCCATTCTGCGCCTTTTATAAGCCACATTTGTATCCTCTTGGTAGTTCTGAACCCCAACCTCAGTTTGTGCTATCACTTGATTGCTTAGATACTGCATCTCTTTGGGCTGGATAAAGGATAAAAGAAGAAATGTAAGGCTTGGAGTAGAATGTTACCATGGCTTCTGCAGCTTGCAAAAAACATATAGAAGTAATTGAACATAAATGCACCAAAAAGGCACAAATATCTCAGTGATATTTATCATGGAAAAAAAATTCTAAAATCTAAATATTTTCTGAGGAATTTAGGTGCATAAACCTTAGAACTGGAAGCCTCTGAGGTCCCGTCAGTAGGAATTGCTCCACTATTTACACGTTTGCCAACATCAATTTGAACAGAGATGCTGGCCTGAGACAAATCCACACCTGAAGATTGCAGTGCTTGGGTCAGAGTACACAATATCCTGTTGAACACCAAAACTCCATTCAGTAGTCGCATAAAACGATAATACCAAAACTATATGTTTGTCAACAGTTTCACCAGACGATTGATGCATTGCATGTGCTTACCCTTGAGAATAGGCACTTGATAAGCTAATTGATCCAGGTTTGATTGTCAGGTCCTCCTGTTCATTCAGTGCATTATCAGAAAGAGCATTCTCAGTTTCATTCTCTCCGCCTTGCCATGATTGGAGTTGGGGTTGGTAAACCATGTTCTCAGCATCAGAGGTAGAATTATGCAGAGGTTCTGTAGGGACGCTATCCCTCCCATGTGGAGTATATGGGTTTGACTGGGTTTGCGTGTTAAGGGGAACCACCAAAGAAGCAGCACCAGCAGGATGATCCAGTGCTTTGTAGACTGAAGCCGTACCTAAGTCAGGCTCAGTTGAATTCTGTGAATTTGTAAGCATTGCTGGGGCAATGACATTGTTCTCACCACCAGACCCATTCTTCATAATTTGAGAATGATCCATAAGAGTTTCTGCCGGCCCAAGACAATTCCTCTGTTGCAATTAGCAAGTTTATTTTCAGACCAACATTATGTTTTTAATTGAAAGCTTGAAACAGTGATTATAATGAAAAATCCTTCAGACAGAGAAACGTTATCCATGTTTATATCCCAGCCTAAACATGACCTAAAGGTGTTTCACATTGTTCTTTTATTAAGGCTGAAATGAATCCATACCCCTTGAAATTTTAAAAGGAATATAAAAACTTGATGGATTCCAAGACGACACAATTTTTGAAAAAGTTAGTTCAGCACACGTACAGAGTCCATTAACTAGAGGGGAAGGGATATGTTCACACTTCAGATATGAAGACTTGAAGATTTTAAAAAAGGCACAATCACAAGGAACACTGCTAGACTACATAAAATATCAAATTTCCTATTTGCATACTGTAAAAAATGTTCGTGGAGAATCTTGGTTGAGAATTTCCACTGAACAAGCTTTTTGTTCCTCTCGTCCATTGGACATGAATCTATGAAACAAATTGGACAAAAGTGATTAAAAACTAACACAAGCTGAGGTAAATTTCATGCAAACAAACTTTAGATTACACACACTCATAAGAAGCCCGCACATCACTCACTGAAGATTACCCAAGGAATCAATTTTGCAGGCTCCTGTACCCAACCTTGATACGATGATCCCTCATATGTCTGTAACTTTTCCTGTAAAAAGTGAATGTACTCTATAACCTGAACACAAGTATAAAAGCTCATCAATTGCTTCCTCAGAGAACAAATATTCAACTAAAATGATTTGCTTATCTCTGTGAGCAGCCTAGCACATGTATGTCCATTTACATGCCACATACAAAGAGCATCATTAAGAAATTACCTCCAACAGGAGAGAAGCCTTATCTCTCTTTTGGTCACTCTGAGGAATGAGATCTCTTAAAGCCTGAAATCTGCCACACAAATAATTGTGTCAAAGCCAGAGCAATAGCAGTCATGGAAACTAACCAAAATGAATAATTAGTTTAGGATATTTCAAAAGCAAAGTATTAAAGAGGCTAAAACATATGGAAATCAACAGTCTTGGTAATTGCAGCAACCAGAAACTGCTTATGATCCACTTAATCCATGTTATTCCCATTTGGTAGCTCAACTAAGCAGAATTCAACAACCAAAAAGGAATCATGCGGTGAGCAAACTAAGCTTGGGGAAATTCAGCTAATACTGAAGGTAGTTGGGTTTGAATTTTAATAAAGATATTTCAATTGTTCATTAAGACTAACTAAATACCACTTTAATTTCTTGAAACCTTTTCTTATTTATTTCATAAAAAAGGAACCAAGGTTACATAAGAACTTCAGTACCCAATTTGCTGATGGTCTGGAGCTTCCAAAATAAAATGATAATATTCCCCAGCTTCAACAATGAGAGTAGAAACATAGTTGCCAAAAGGAAAGGAAATCCACATGCACAACTTAGTAATAAAAACACACCAATACAAAGCACAAACAACTTTGCCCCTATTCTCCTTTTCGTTTTCCTCAAGAAAAAAAGCAGTGACCTTTGCCAAAAACAAAAAAATAATTCAGCACTCTTCTTATCTAATTTTCACGGCATTAACTTTTTCATGAAACCCCAAACAAACCAGCGAAATTAAGCAGAAAATCATGGACAATTGGGCAAGGGTCATGATATGAACAGAAAAAAAAACCCCAGATTAGGAAGACAACGGTGGTTCATCAAGCTTACCTCTCATTTATCTTGCTCCTCCTCCGCTGCTCCGTCTCAGAATGCTTCGACCGGTGCGTGTTCGCCTTCTGTTCACCCACCTTCCCTTCCACCTTCACCGCTTCCCCTACAATTATCCCCAATACAAACTAATAAAAACAACCCAAAAATTCCCAATTTTTTTTTTTTTTAAAATTCCCCTGAATACCTCTGTTGAAGGTAGCAGAATCATTCCGAGCGAGGAGTTCGTCGTACACATCGTCGTCTTCTTCTTCCTGATGAAGCTGAGTGCTCATAGATGACTTTACCATTTCTACCTCTTCCAAAACAGCTATCCTACAATGGAGTCTGAATGAAATGGAGCTCCGAGAAGAGGTCCGGCGAGTCCGGCGGGTCTGCTTCGTCGTCGGAAGTGTGGTCTACGCGTGTGACCGAGAGATAGAAGGAGAGAAAGTGGAGGTTGTTTGGACACATGGACAAACCAAAACCCTAGGATGGGTTAAAATAATTTTTAATCTAACGGATTGAATTATTTTATTCTTATTTAATTAGTTATCGTTTTGGTTTTATTTTTATTATTGATTTATTTAACATTCTGGCACCTCTCTACCTCCGCGTGCTTGCTGACGTATAAAATAAATTATTCCCCTCTAAAAACAATAATTTCCCATAAAATTGTAGTTGTAAAGCATGTATACTAACAGCTGATTCACTATTATTAATAATTTA